TTAGTAGCAGTTAGTAGCAGTTAGTAGCAGTTAGTAGCAGTTAGTAGTAGTTAGTAGTAGTTAGTAGTAGTTAGTAATTAGTAGTAGTTAGTAGTAGTAAGTAGTAGAAAGTAGTAGTAAGTAGTAGTAAGTAGTAGTAAGTGGTAGTACGTAGTAGTAAGTAGTAGTAAGTAGTAGTAAGTAGTAAGTAGTAGCAGTAGTAGCCGCAGTCGCAGTCGCAGTCGCAGTCGCAGTCGTAGTGGTAGTGGTAGTGGTAGTGGTAGTCGTAGTCGTAGTAGTAGTAGTAGTAGTAGTAGTAGTAGTAGCAGTAGCAGTAGCAGTAGCAGTAGCAGTAGCAGTAGCGGCAGCAGCAGGAGTAGTAGCAGCAGCAGCAGGAGTGTAGGAGTAGTAGTCGTCGTCGTCGTTGTAGTAGTAGTAGCAACAGCAGCAGAAAGAACATCTTTAGCCATATCTTTCGCCCAAAAAAGTTACTTTCGCCAACTCGAGAAAACAACTTTCGCCAAATGAGATTTGATATGTTCCGGGTCATCGTCATCAACAATCCTGTTTAGGACCTTTAGATCGACAACCATATGTATACTTCCGACCCCCTTCGGCCTCCCTCACCCGCCCAAACAGGTCCCCAAAAAGTACGAAAACGCCGCCACAACGGGAAACACCCGCGGCACACCTTGCAGGCGCTTGAGAAGGCGTTGATTCTCCGCATCGATACGTTGCAATTCCTTCACCCGAGCTCCTGCCTCAGAATGACGTGCGGAACCCGCCCGTTCCGGCGGAGGCGGGCGGGTTGAAAACAGCCCAGGGCGGTCTGTGGTTGGGCTGTGATTTTGAAGGTTGAGAACGGGCTTGTGCTGAGCATCTGCAGTTGGATTGAAGTATGAGAAAATTATAAAGTTGTGGGAGCTTCAAACGCACAAACACTTGTCAAACCATTTCACACTAAGACACACACACACAGCCACACGCACACACGCAAACTCAACCTGTTGTTGACTCAATGCCTTTAGGAGCAAGGACGCTACTAGGGGCTCCTGGCCTTACTACTAGGAGCAAGAAAATACCAGGAGCAAAGGGCATCGTTACGAACGGAGCGATCGGACGCTATTATTTTCAATGTTGCTCAAGCAGACTCGATGGCACTCGGCTCTGGCACACCAGACCGTCATGTGTCGCATGTTCGAACCACTTTCTCGGCTGGGCTGGCTGAACGAACCCCTTTGCTGCGCACGGTGGGAGGACCGCTCACGAGTTTGCCAGGCTCCTTGGAAGCAAATGTGATCTACATTCAACTCACTCTATTTACCTCTAATTACTCACTCACATTAAATTAGAGTGAGTTGGAGTGTGGATCATATTATTGTAAGATTACATGGATGTGGATGGCACTCCCCATAAAGGAGTCTTCCAATATCTCTTCCAAGGGACCACGTTTCACTTCCAGTGAGTCAGAGTGAGTCACCTCGGAACCTTCAGTGGATGGCATGGCCCCGATGACTCGGATGACCATGTTCTTTCCGAGACCGAACAGGTGGAACTCACTTCCGTGATCATCTCAGGGAGAGTATAGATTGATATACACGCATAGCTGCTATAGCGGCTTGGGGAACTCCCGGCTCCCGGTTTCCTTCTTTATCTTCCCCATGAGGTGGTTCTAGTGGTTTAGACTGAAGCATTTTGGATGGTTCTATGTATCTGAATTTGGTTGAACCTGGCGAAACCATTTGCATCATTTGTTGGAGGATCTCATCCGCGAAATCGTCACCGAACTCATCCCCTACCCAATAGCTCGCGATTCTGTCGGCAAGTGTCATTTAGACGCGCGCCATTCTCAGGCAAGATCCACAACAAGCAACAGCATGTAGCCGGTATGAACCCAAAAATCCAAAATCAACACGAAAGATCGGCATTCGACATCATATGTCAAGCATGCACAGGGAGTCACGTCGATCGCATCCTTCCGAACTGTGGAACTCACGTTGGCCATGTATAGACATGAACAGTGTGAAGCACGGGGGGTCTTCGGAAAGATACTATAGCCACCAATCATTCTTACTCTTCAGTGAACCTGAGTACGCCGGTTTCTTCATTAAATTCGTAGAGGATCGTTGAGATGTCTTTTGGTGGCTTGAGTCATGCCGCGGAACAACCACAGTATGGCACACAAAGAATGCACCTACTACATGAATCATCATGAAGCAAGCAAAGCACAGGGGGCAAGGGACGCTGCTATGAGCAAAGGGCACCGCTACTAGGAGCAAGGAAGCTACGAACGGGGCTCCTGGCCTTATACTAGGAACGTTCGGACGCTACCAACGGAGCTTTTTGCTCCCAGAAACTTACTCACCATGTTCGTTGTTTATGCCGGTTTTCTCACGCTGGCCCTGACTCCCTGACCTTGACCGTCACAACAAAGGGGCCCGCCCAGCCCAGTGCGAGCCCGCCATACCGCAAAGAGGCTGATCACACAAAGGCTGATCACAGTGGACAGCTTCAACAAACATCCCTTCTTAATACCCGGTTTATACTGAAACCCAGGGTGTACAGGATATTTTCCCGGGACTGACCCTGTCTTCTTAACAGCTGCAACCCATGCACCACCGACTGGAAGAAGCGCACCACCGACTGTGGTGATTCACTCAGCCCCTTCTTCAGCTCCGCCCAGCTCTCAGCCGCGCAGGGGGTCAAAGCCCAACTTGGCGGCGTCCCCCGAGATGGAGATCACCGCATAAGCGCGGCGCTTGTCCTGGGCGGCACCGCGCAGGTGTTCGATCGCGCGCCAACGTCGTGACGTGCCGGTTGGTCGGATTGAGGAACCCCCCATATCCCCCCGCAACATGGATTGAACCTCATGTGGGGGGTTCTATCAATGAGTCTACATTCAGTTGGGTGTTTCACCAAAAAACATGGACACAAACAGCTCCGGGACAAAAGCTTGGGGGTTCCAGCTTGGGGTGTGGGCTGGCGAGTCCAAGCTGTTTGCTGGTCGTCAGAGACGGGGTCCTCTCGAAGGAAGAGGTTGTTGATGCGATAGCCCAGCAAAGCATCACCACCTAGGCCGTGTCCAGTCGGCTCAAATAGATTTGACCGAAGCCAATATGGGGAGGACGACGATGATGAAGAGCTTGATGAACAAACAATTGAAAACGCATCTCCTGTGCCACTTTCAACGGGCAATTGGCAATCCTCACATAGGACAGAATTGTCGGACACATGATACATTCGGTCTGAAAAAATGGTGGCAATAAAAAGGCACCGTAGAGTCTTGCAATCCAAGGCTTTTCAAGCACGCATCCAACTCTTTACGTCTCCCAAACAATCATAGAAGCATATAGAAGCCAGCTGACACTTCGCAGAAAAGACCAATGGGTCTGAAATCTACAGATTGACCGTGATCATCCAACCCCAACACCGCTGCCTCTTTTCCAGAACACCAATGGAAGAAACACCGATGAACAAACTACTGAGACGAGTCTCATTTGCAAGTGGGTGATGGCTCCGCTAGACCAAGTCTCTGACCCACGGCGAGGACATGAGCCTTGGCAGTTAAAAGCGCCTCTGCCACAAACTGGTGGTAGAAGACCTGGACGGCCAAACAGTGCCAAGTCTCTTATGGTTCATAGGGTGGGAAAAATCGCTGATGCACCGGATAATGATGGATCATGGGTTCGTGTTTCTTGCAAATGAATCCAAATAAACAGCTAGCGGTCATGGGAGCCAGCCAATGCGGGAATTTTCCACACGTCGAACCCATCAACAATACATAACCACACGAATCAGGCAGCGAACGTGCATCTTTTTTCTGGATTAGCTCACCTCTCTGTCACGACACGAGATAGGGCCTCTCACAAGCCAGGAGGCCCCCAATCTTGCCACTTGGGCTCCTTCCACTGGTCGGCCTCTCGGTCCTTCCCCGAGGGCTTCCCATATCTCTGCCGGTCTTTCCCTTTCTTCCCCTTCCCCTTCCCTTTGCCTTTTCCTTTGCCCTTTTGTGGCTCCTCCAGGTTGGGGGCGGGGTTCGACCAGTCTCCTCCTCCAGAGCTCTGTTCGATCTCGTTGGCAATCCGTTCGGCCTCTGCACGCTTGTCTTCTGGAATGCTGGACACATCCAGGGGCGTGGAGTACATGTTGGCCCAATCGCCTTTGACCTCCCCTCCAGGCCCTGCGGGCGGCTTCTCTGGAGGCGTTTGCTCTGAAGAGTTCTTCCAGTAGCTGTCTTGCCACTGCTGCTGTCTCCATTCTTGGTGTCCGTGGTTTCCCTGGTGGCCATGATTCCTGGAACTTTGACCGTACTGGTACTGACCATAGGTGTCAGACCTATAGTCAGACCTCTCCGATCTGTAGTTCGAAGCATAGTGCATGCTAGGTTGCCACTGTGATCCCATGGGAGAGCTGTGTACAATGGTCTTGCCACCCGCAGAAAGCTGGTTGGCAATCTGCTTGCTATGCTCATATTGGCTATGGCTACTCTCCTGGGGGCCCTTGTGGAGCATGTTCAGGATCTCTGTCCGGATGGTCTGGTGGGTGTCTGACCCGGGGGCTTCCACCTCCCAGCCCTCAGGCTCCACGGGTGGCTCTGTCCACACTTCTACATCTCCAGCGCTGGCCGCCCAGGCGGGTGGATGTTCTTGCTCCCACCTCCGAACCTCCTCCTCCTCTGCAATGATGCGCTCCCAATCGCGGAGCTGCTCATCCGTCTCGGCCTTCTTTTGAAGCTTGGGCAGTTGAAGAGGATCAACCTTTTCTCCTCGAGCCAGCTTCTCCTCGATGCGCTCGATCTCGCGCAACTTCTTGCGAAGCTTCGCGGCCTCCTTCTCTGCTTGGGTCTTTGGACGTTCGTCTCTGACCTCTGGTACGACATCCTCAGGCTTTTCTGAGTGGTTGGCATAGCCATAGCTAGGCATCTCCACATGTTCCTCTTGTGCTTTCTCTTTTTCCTTCTCCTTCTTCTTGTCCTTCTTTTTGGACTTTGTCATGGGCTCCTGAGTCATCAGAAGCTCCACAGCCCTGCTGATGTCTTCTTCGGATTGGACCAGGGCATCACACACCTGGTCATCACTGAACTGCGGGAGAATGTCCTTCACCTGTCGCACCAACTGCGTATAGTCCCGCCCCTGCTGTCCGATGATGTCCTTTGCGGACGACAGCAACGACGAGGGCATGACTTTCGGGGAGGGAAGAGATTCTTCGCACCCCGAAAAGGACGACTTGCGCGGACAGGATTTCTACGGACGCGCGTCGTCTCCCTTGAGCCCAGGTTTTGGTTCAGGTGCGACGGATTGTGAAGATATTGTTCAAACAGGTGGTGCAAGGTGCACGTGACACAAAAGCGTTCATAATATCTCAATGCACCTGCCAGCCAGTAAATAACCAGCAATTGAACACAGTAACTGGGACCTGTTTTGACTCCTGCAAGGCCCCCCCCACAGGCACAAAAATTTCACACACACACAATACGCTACTGTGGTTCAAAAATGAAGCCCTTCCAAAAGTACAGGGTTGGATCCATAATTTTAGTGACCCACATCGCCAATGGAACATTTAACCTTCTTGTCTCTGGGCTGCCCCAGAGACAAGCCGCCTGCAAGGATTCAAACTGCCGTGTCACGTTGACCGTCCTCAGCACACAAGCTTCAAACTACGCATTTGGTAGTGGAGGGGCCGGGAGCTCCAGGAGCTACGTTCGTAGCGTCCTTGTTTTGCAATACTAAATGGGGCAAAACCAATTGAGCAACATTCAGTGATATTCAGAGGATTTGGATTTGTGTTATTCACGTCTAAAATGTTCACTTAGTGTGTGCAGTCAACTGCGCACCTGTGAAGCTTACAGTAATTACATGCAACTACCTAAGTCCTATTGAACCTCCAGCCGCACATCCACTCCACCTCGTGTCAAAATCTAATGTGCCTGTGGTTATGAATAACATCTTATAACGAGAGTTCGCAAGGATGCGACCTTTATACCTGGGCTCCAAACTTGAGCACATCATCTGATCATCAATCTCTCAAGGCGAGTCCCAAGGCTTGTCAGCTTCTTCTTCTTCTTCTTCTTTCGGGGGTGCTTTCCCGCTAAACACCCCGCGCCGCACCATTAAGGCCAATTGTTCAAGCCAATTTTAGGCGACTTCATCCCATTCTGAGTGCGAAGCTCTTTGATCATGTGCACCGTGACGAAACCGCAATATTGCTCGACCTGGAGGCTTCCGTTCGTGAGGCCCAACGTGCATCCGGAATACACTGATGTTCACCTCTTTAAGTCCTTGGTGGGTGGAGTGACCATAAGTCAGGTATGCCGCTCCTCCTTGGAGACCTCCAGCTAGAGTACAAGGATGCCGTGTCTCAATCTTATGAGACACTCCGTTCTCCGATCATCATCCGGTATACATCGGCATACTTTCCCAAAGAATGATGGGCACCATGTAAGCCTGATGTGCCATATGTGCACCTGTCCTTGTAAGCCTGAGACTGGGTGGAGTGACAAGACTGAAACACATAATATGTGGCGCATATACATGGGCATGCAAGTCATGGCCGCCACGAAAAGTATCAAAAAGAGATGATCTTGTATCACATTCAAAAATGGGACACGGCACATGGTTCGGTTTACTGTAGTACACGCAACTGATGATATGATATCATATGCATGTATACTTCAAAGCCCCCCACAAAAAAAGAAACAACGAGGACCACCAATGGATTGAAAGGTCTATTGGTCTATTGGCCTTCTTCCAGGCGGTTGAACTGGCAGGTCTCCACAATTTGCACCCGTACAGTAGCAGCACTGACCCCGTTTGCAATGTTCAGGCTTTGGGGGTGTTTCTTTTGCAGGATCTCCTTGCTTTCACATATGTTCCTGACTATCACTATGAACATCCCAAGGGCGAGAGCAATTTCTTCAGGTTCATGTACAGGTTCACGTGATGTAACGTAGAATCTTAATTAAATAGACCACATATATGAAAGGTTTTACTATGTTCTACTAATGGTGGTTGTTGATCAAGATTCTGCATTCGCAATGTATATAGCTATATATATCACTATATTATTGCCATTGTCTTCTGGCATTGGTGAAGCCTCCCACGATGAAGGAATTTTAGGAGCAGGGTTCTGTGATCCGATCCATGTTTCGCTCTGACAGTGCTAGTATTCCTGTCGCATGAATCATGAAGAACTTGCCAGAAAAAGAACACAGTGGTTGTGTATACTGCAGAGATGGACATTCATCCCACAACTTCAGCAAGACGGGGCCAGCAAATAATACAGTATCTGTTTTGATGGCTCTGGAGGGAGGGAGGAGAGAGAGAGAGAGAGAGATGCTTTAAGAATAGATTTACAGTATATGCGCACATCTCCAACTTCTCACATCTCTCACAAAGACATACAAAGACGACCAATACAGCTCCATACCACCGTCAGCCACTCCCCACAGCCACTCCGCATCACCTCCGACTGGGCCCCGCCAGTATGGCATGGGATCTTCCACGCCTCGCAGTTGGGGATGGAGCTCAAGGCTGAGACCAGCACCGGCTTGTCCGCCTCAGCAGTGGCGTTGATTGGATGGGGCCGAAAGCGACCCATGTGCTGCAAACAGCCGGCTGGGACACGTGGGGAACGTTCACGGTTAAAGGGGTGCCACGAACATCCCGCCCCGAAACCACCAAAACCATCAAACGGTTTTAATGTTCACCAAGCTCGGAGATGTTTGGGCTCCCCAAGTAGGCCTTCCACAATTTTTGTTGCGGCCTTACCATGAACTGTGGCACGACTTTGCTGTTCCTTCATGCAGGTATTGATCTCGAACAGCAACGAGAGAACACCTACAGTATAAAAACCTCAAAATACTTCAACCATCGGCTCTCTTGATCATTCCGCATCTAACCTATAGTGGATTGAGAGTAGATGGCACAGACCCCAAAGAGGTGGTTTATACGGACCCCCATCTAGAAGACATCTTGGGGTCTGCGCCATCCACTCTGAAACCACTGTATGTCATGTTGTGGATTCCTTCGCTCGCTCGCTCGCATCGCGTCCGTGATCATCCGCCTCCGCCACGCTGGCATCTGGAACCCACTCTTGATCGCTTCGCCTGGCAAGAGCAGCGAAAAACCATGCCCCGAAAAAACGAGGGAACAAACACCTGAGTGAATTTGTGCTTCCACCACTGTCAAAAACATCTGTTACGCCTGTTACGCCACGGGAACCACCACAAAGTATCTCGGTGATGGCAATGTAATGAAGTGACGCCAAATATATAACTCTGCTTTTGGGTTTCAATGTCCGGATCCCACCTTGTGGAACAATGCCGGGCATTGCCGGGCATTGCCAAACATAAAATTAGTGTTCGTATCGTGCTTGCACATTGCACATACTACCTTCATTCCTTCATCCACAAAGGACAAACATCACTGTCCCGGCAAGAGGCCCCAAAGAGCGTTCAGTTGAAGAAAGGAAGTGTGCACAACGGACTAAAATTAAAACCACTTTCTGTCTGAACACATTGCTGGCGATGGGGCTGCAGGTGTCAGCATTGCGGTTCATGCAGCGGTGGTGTTGCGAAGCCGCAAACACGCCCAGCAAGGCAGGCAGCACTTGAGGCAATGCAAATGGACCGTGTGTCAAGCTTTGTCTAAGCAGTGCTGCCACACTTGTTTAAGGTGGGCAAACAAAGTTCCGCCTTCGAACCCCAAGCGCGCATATAAGAGCACTCAAGATCGAACAAATGAAGTCACTGAAAGCACACATGAAAAATCATGAAAGCGAACTACTATTTCCGTTGAGCTATTTGGATTTACGGATGGATTTGTGTCCGGGCTATGCGTGCCAATGGGATCAAAAAAAACACGTCACGGGCGCAAACCGCCTACACATAGGCGAGCAACCTCTTTTTCTCCACTGTGCTGGATTGACTCCAAGTTTTGGATTGACTTGGAGGGCTCAATGGCTCAACAGGCCATCAGGTTGTTCATTTATAAAAACACGCAACTTGACTATCTATATGTTTAATATAAGTGCTGCTCTTTTCGAATCCCTCCATGGTTGAATGCATCAAATTGGCCATTTGGCCTGATGGGAGATGTTTTGTCAACAATGTGGGTTTAAGAAACAAAACATACGACACTAGCACTAGCACAGTATACAGATTTAACTTCAAATCTCCCAGGTGGATTAGCAGGGCAGCACGTTCTGTTACCACCACAACCCCCGATTAGTGGAAACCGTGCCACTGCAGAAACACAATCCTTTTTGGATTGTCCACTCAGCGCTATCAGCTTCACCTCTTGCTTTTTTTTGAAGCCGCTGGTTTCGCCTCCAAAAGCTCAGCTGAACAGCTATATGAACATAAGATAAACCATATGTAATGTAATGTATATATATAGTATATATCATTATTTATTATAATTATGATATGTTTGTGTTTATTGTTATATAATCAAGATAATCTAGATTGGATGCATTGAATGCACAATGAATTCAAGATTCACTCTCAGTCTCAGTGGAGTGATATGTGTGTGTTTTTTTGGTATTTCTTTTAGGGGGAGGGGGAAGGGTGAGGGCTAGATTGACAATCGTGCTCAGGAAACCACAAACAAAACAGTTGAGTCAGTTGAGTTGAAATGAGTCTCGAATATTCAATGCATCTGGAAAAGTAAAAACTACTCTTTGACTCTGCGGGTCTTTGGTTCTCCCAACTCCCAACCTCTTTCTTGAAGGCTTCCTCCAACGAAGCTTGGCCTTGGGGCTTTCTGCTTGCCCTGGAAGCCGGCGTGGATGGTGGCTGGGTTTTGATCTTCTTTTGTGCGCTTTCAATCACCTCTTGCACAGCCTTCTTGTTTGCGCCGCTTGCTCCTGGAGAAGCACGGCTTTGATCTGAAGACCCGCGGATGATGTTGTGCACAGCGGATGTGATCTCAGTGCCTACCTCTGGTGCCAACTGGTGTGCTCCGGCACAAGTATTCATCTCTGCTTGTAATTTGCTCATGTTGCACAAGTGCTCCAGATCAGCAACGTTAGCTGCTTGACTAGGGAGTGCATCATCTGGGGCATGATCAGGATTTTTCTGCGTGTCATGCAGCCACACAAAGAAACCACGTAGGTCCTGTAGTTGTTCCTTCTCATTGCTTCCCAAAGCCCATTTCTTGAGGCCGTCATGAAGGGTCATTGATTTTGATGTCAAGAACTTCCCGAAAAGCGGGTGCTGGGTTGCCCTGACTCTCTCATCCTGGAACTCAGATGTGTGTGGTTTCTTGAGGAACCGTCGCAAATCATCAATGCTCCTTGGACGAATGCTGTAGTCCCAAAGCTGCTTTTCTGGCTTCTTGTCATTGGGTGTCTCTTCGGCTGTCTCAACTTTTTTGGTCCCAGGCCCAGTCTCAGAAGGTGTAGGCATGGTTTGATCTCTGATTGCCAAGATCTGGACAGGTGAACGTGAAGGTGATGGAAATGAAGGTCCTCGCAACTGTTCAGCCACTAAAGCCCCCAATTCCTCCTCAATTGATATCTTGTCGTTCCCAGTCTTCTCACTTGGCTCTCCATTCAACCTGGTCAGAGTCGTATCGATGCAATTCTCCTCTGAGGAAGGAGCAGGCTGTGACGGCTGTGGCAGTGCCAAAGTAGGTTCAGCCGCAGTAGTGGCTGTGGTAGCACTGCCATCACCTGAAGAGTTCTTGCTGTGTGGTTCACCCAATGAGGGTTCAGGCTGTGACGGCTGTGGCAGTGTCAAAGTAGGTTCAGCCGCAGTAGCGGCTGCGGCAGCACTGTCATGATCTGAAGACTCCTTGACGTGTGGTGCATCTGACGGAGGATCAGGCTGTACCTGTAGCTGTGGTCTTGATGAATCGGCAGCAGCAGGAAGGCCTTGTAGCAAGGCATGATCAGCCCCATGTGCTTTGGTAAGCAATGTGTGCGACAAATCCCTCTGGAAGATCAAGAAATGTCTGAGATCCTCCAATGGGTCAGAGCTGACTGGGTCTCCAAACTTCCAGTCATCTTGAAGTAGCTCCTGCATATCTTCTTGATCCATGTACTTCTTGAACAAGTGGTGTTGTCGGCAACGATCAAGCTCAAAGTCAAGGTCTGCGACATTGTCCTTGTCAAACCAATCATCAAGGTCTTCATGAACAGGTGGATTGGTGAAGTCAATTGTCATCTTGACATCACCCATCTGAGAATCAGGTGGGTCATCCTTGCGGTCGAAATCTCCACTCTCCTCCATACTCTTTGTCACCATCATTGACACGCATTTGGAAATCCATTCCAAGCTTTGTTCAAGCCGACCACGTTTCATATCATAGGCACTCCCTTGGTTCTTCAGCACGGTGATACCAAGATTCAACGCTTTGACAAAGTCATCCAACTCCTGGATGAACATGTGCTGCAAGCAACAGCCCGTTTGTACCTCACTTGTGCACTGCAGTGGGTGTGTCAGGGACAGGGTCATGGGAAGGAGAGAGGGGGTCAAAAATTAACATATCCTTGTCGGCCTTGTCGTCCTTGTCCTTGTCACTTGTCATCCTTGTCCTTGTGTGTGTTCCCCAAACTCACATATACTATGACAGCCAGGATGCAAACAGTTGACAGCCAGGTGTCTTTGATTGGTCATCCATAGCTGGGTGAAAATCATCTGGTAGCAAGCCTCTACATGCTTGGTATGCCAGTCGTCCAGCAGGAATGACAAACGCATCACCAGTGTGCAGATATCGATGAGCACCTTGAGTCAAGTCAAGTCTAGACCAGTCTATCCACCATCAAACCCAATGAAATTCAGAATTCAAAACCTATTTTGAAATGATACAACTGAGGTGTCTACCGCCAGCATGTTCCAGTTCATCAAGTGTCATGGAGCAAAGCTTATCTGCGAGGTGTTGCAAATCAGATCCCCTGTCAATATCGGTCTTGAAGGCTTGTATGGGGATAGATGCAATAAACAACGAGCCCTTGGTGACGGCAACCACTCTGCTCCACATGAACTCGGCAAATCCACACCATGTCCAACTGTCACGTGAGACCACAAGGCGGGGTGTGGCTATCTTGTCGATGGCGTCTCGCTCAGCAGTTGTCAGCTGCAACCTCAGACAGAGACAAAGACATGTATATAAATGAAACTAAGTTGTCCAACAGGCACAGAGTTAGTCAAATGAACGGCAAAGCTAAACTGACTAAACTACATACTACATACTACATACTACTACAAAGATACAAACTACAAGCCCTTTTCAAACACGTTTTCAATGTCCAGAGTCCAGACCATCTTGACTCCTTGACATGCATGGCATGCATTATTGTAAAGTCCATGTTCACTCAACTCACCAACCCATTGAACCGGTTGTGCTTGCCTAGAAGCTGATCATTCAAATGGTTCAACCCAGTCATGAAGTCAGAAACACAATGTCTCAGTCCCTCTGGGTAAGCTGATTCCTTCAAGTAGTTTGTCATGCGTTGTTGTTTTGAACCATCCTCAGGCAAGGTAGACGCCGAAGTCAAGAGTTTCTCCAGCAAGTCATTGTGTACGTCCAGATCAGCTGGTTCAAAGCGCACATGTGTGGCTTTCTTCGAGTTGAGGAAGCTCCATCCTTGACAACAGTGAGGAATGTGAAGCTTCTTTGCATCAGCCAGAAGATACAATCTGGGTGCATCTGGCGGTTCCTCCTGAAGACCTGGGTCTCTCACAGGCACATTAGGTGCCTTGGACCCCTGTCCCTCTGTAGCATCAGGACCATTGGCGGTGACATCAACATCTTCCTCACCAGACTCACTCTCAGAAGCATCAGACACATCGTCATGGTCCCTGGCTTCCTTCTCAGCGTTCTCACATCCCCTCTTCTGGGCAGCACCTTTCACGTCTGCGATGGCCTCCTTCCTCTTTCGTTGGAGTTCAGCCACCCTGCCAAACAAAGCTGTGTCAAGACACGTTGATCTGCAAAGATTCACATGTGACAGCAAACACCTAAATAATCGACACACAAACACTTTGAATGTTATCAGCAATCTAGCTCAATTGGGCTGTCACTACCACTCCTAGTCTGTCACAGCAAACAACAAAACACATATTAGATCATGATCACAGAACAGTGCAGAGTATGAAATCTG